CTCTATCTATCTATCTATCTATCTATCTATCTCTGTCTATCTATCTATCTATCTTTCTCTATCTCTCTATCTCTCTCTCTCTCTCTCTCTCTCTCTCTCTCTCTCTCTCTCTCTCTCTCTCTCTCTCTCTCTCTCTCTCTCTCTCTCTCTCTCTCTCTTCTCTCTCTCTCTCTCTCTCTCTCTCTCTTCTCATTCTCTCCTCTTCCCTCATGCAACATCCCCCTATTTTCACCCTAAAAACGCTTTTTCACATCACTCACTATTTCATCACCCATAAAACCCACCCTCTTCGCAACTTATTTTGCCAAACTCTCGCCACCTCATTCTCACCCTCTCATCACTCATTGGTCTGCCCGTCCTCTCACCACATTTCGCCACTCTCATCACCCGTTCTCCAGCTTCTCTCTCCCTTCTCATCATTCTTCTCCTCTCATCATTCTTCCCCTCTCATCATCCATTATGACCCTCTCATCACTCTTTCTACCCGTCTTCTCACCACATTTCGCCACTCTCATCACCCGTTCTCCAGCTTCTCTCTCCCTTCTCATCATTCTTCTCCTCTCATCATTCTTCCCCTCTCATCACCCATTATGACCCTCTCATCACTCTGTCTACCCGTCCTCTCACCACATTACGCCCCCTTCTCATCACCCTTCTCTCCCCCTTATCATCATTCTTCCCCTCTCATCACCCATTATGACCCTTTCATCACCCACTACCCGTCTTCTCACCTATTACGCCCCCTTCTCATCACCCACCACGCCCACCTCCCCAGAGAGGGCGCGACCACGGCATCCCGCCTTACACAGCCTGGCGGAGGGGCTGCAACCTCCCCGTGCCGACCTCCGTCAATGACCTCGCCCAGATCATGTCCCCGGCGGTGGCACAGGTCTTCCAGAGGCTGTATCCGTGAGTAAATTATGTTTTGTTGTTGTTTTTTATTTTTTATTTTATGTTTTTTTTTTTTTTTTTTTTGGGGGGGTATTTCTTGGTTTGGCTTTTGTTTTTCATGTTTTTTACGCTTGTTTGTTTGTTTTACTTTTTTTTGTTTGTTTGTTTGTTTTTGTCATTCTTGATGTTTTTCTTATATCTTTGGTTTGGTTGTTTGTCTTTCACATTTTTTACGCTTTTCTAATTTCTTGTTTGTTTTACGTTTTTCTTTTTTTCTTTTCTTTATTTTTTGTTTTGTCTTACTTGATGGCTTTCTAATTTCCTTTTGTTTGCTTGCTTTCACATTTTTTACGATTTTCTAAATTTCTTGTTTATTTTACGTTGTTTTGTCTTTTTTTTTTTCATTCTTGAAGCATTTCTATCATATTATGTACGAAAGTTATCAGATTGTATCATAAGCTGTGTTGTAAGCTATATTGAAAATTGCAATTGCAAGTTACGCCACAAGATAGTTATAAGTTATATCTTAAGTTACAGTTTTAAGTCACATCCCAAAGTTGTAATTGCAGGTTATATCACGTTACAATTTTTAATCATATCATTAAAAAAACACTAATATCAAGCTCGAATCATAACCCTATTCTCTAATTATTACAGCAACGCCACATCACAACCCACAACTATAACTACTATCACAAGGAGAGTCATCACAACCATAGCCACTAATAGTTGGTCATCACAACCATAGCCATAATAGTTGGTCATCACAACCATAGCCATCAATAGTTGGTCATCACAACTATAACCACTGTCACAAGGTCATCACAACCTGTAATTCCATCACCACAATAACATTACAGGAAGTTACAAGCAGCCATGTCACTCTCTGTCTATCTCTATCTATCTGCCTATATATCCATCTATCTATCTATCTATCTGCCTATCTATCCATCTATCTATCATCTAGATATCTAGATATCTAATATATCTATCTATTTCTCTCTCTCTCTCTCTCTCTCTCTCTCTCTCTCTCTCTCTCTCTCTCTCTCTCTCTCTCTCTCTCTCTCTCTCTCTCTATCTCTCTATATATATATATATATATATATATATATAATATATATATATATATATATATATATATATATATAACTTAATATATCTATCTATCTATCTATATATCTGCCTATCTATCCATCGATCTATCTATCTAGATATCTATCTAATCTATCTATCTATTTATCTATCTATCTCTCGCTCTATCTAGCTATCAATAATCTATCTATCTATCTATCTGCTTATCTATCATCTATCTAATATATCTATCTCTTTATCTCTATCTCTCTATCTATCTATCTATCTACTCAATGTATCTATCTATCTATCTACTTAATGTATCATCTATCTATCTATCTAATATATCTATTCTATCTCTCTATCTATCTATCTTATGTCTACTCTATCTATCTATCTATTTACTAATTATCCATCTATCTATCTATCTATATATCTATCTATCTCTCTATCTATCTATCTATCTACTCAATGTATCTATCTATCTATCTACTTAATGTATCCATCTATCTATCTATCTAATATATCTATCTCTTTATCTCTCTATCTATCTATCTATCTACTCAATGTATCTATCTATCTATCTACTTAATTGTATCTATCTATCTATCTACCTATCTTCTATTAATGTATCTATCTATCTACGTATTTCCATTATCCACCCATCTATCTACTCCCTGCAGGTCAATAGACGAGATCGACCTGTTCCCGGCAGGCTTGGGAGAGAAGGCTGTGCCCGACGGCCTGCTCGGACCGACCTTCACCTGCATCATCGCCCACCAGTTCGCACGACTCAAGCGGGGAGACCGGTTCTGGTTCGAGAATCCCAACCAGCCGAGGCCTTTTACTGAAGGTAGGCCTATGCATTTTTTTTTTTTTTCTTTTTTTTGCTGATTTTCTTTTATTCGTTTACATGCTTTTTATTTACTTTTTTTATTATTATTATTCGTTAAATGCTCATTTGTTTATTGATTTGGCTTCTCTTGATTCTGGTTCGAAAATCCCAACCAGTATAAGCCTTTACTGAAGGTAGGCCTATGCATTTTTTTTTCTTTTTTTTTCTGATTTTTTTTTTTATTCATTTTTGGTTTATTTATTGATTTGTCCGTTTATTTATCTGTTTGTTAAATGCTCATTTGTTTATTGATTTGGCTTCTCTTGATTCTGGTTCGAGAATCCCAACCAGCCGAAGCCTTTTACTGAGGGTAGGCCTATGCATCTTTTTTTTTTTTTTTTTTTTTTTTTTTTTTTTTTTTTTTTGCTGATTTTCTTTTTTTATTCATTTTTGGTTTATTTGATTTGTCCGTTTATTTATCTGTTTGTTGAATGCTCATTTGTTTATTGATTTGGCTTCTCTTGATTCTGGTTCGAGAATCCCAACCAGCCGAGGCCTTTTATTGAAGGTAGGCCTATGCCTGTCTATACCCATTTTTATTCATATTATTCATGTATCTGTTTATTCATATATTTATTCGTCCATTTGTCTATAACTTTGTTTCATGTATATGTTTATCTGTCTGTTGATTTAGCTTCTCTTAATTCTGGTTCGAAAATCCTAACCAGCCTAAGTCTTTTACTGAAGGTAGGCCTATGCATGTCTTTTACTCTTTTTTATTACTCTTTATTAATTCAGTTCTATTTATTTATGAATATATCCGTTCATTTATCTGTCTATTAAATGTCCATTTGTCTATTGACTTAATTTCTCTTAATTCTGGTTCGAAAATTCTAACCTGCCTAAGCCTTTTACTGAAGGTAGGCCTATACATGTTTTTTTTATTCATTTACCTTTTTGTTCACTTATCTATTTATTTATTTATCTGCTTATTCATCTGTTTCTTCATCCATTTGTCTATTGCTTCTCTTGATTCTGATTCGCAAGTCCTAACCTGATTAGGCCTTGTACGGAAAGTAGGCCTATGCATGTGCTTTTTATGTATGTTGTGTTGTTTTCCTTCATTCTGATTATTTTTATTATTAGGCTACCATCATCCTCATTATTATAATCATTATTATTACGGTTATCATTTTTTAATGATCGTTATCATCAATATCGTCATTAGATTATTACAATAATTATTATTATCATTACATTCATTACAATTAATACCATTAATGATTTCATTACCACTAATAGTAGTAGTAGTATTGTTGTTATTTTATTATCATCATCAAACATTATTATGATCATTTTTATCATTATTATCATTGCTGTATTTTCATTATTATCAGTTTCATCATCACTATCGGTATATATAATAATCATCCTTATCATTTATCATTATCATCATTATAATTATCATCCTTATCTCCATAATCATTAGAATCATCACCATTATCATTATTACCAGTATCATAATGATCACCCTTGTTATTATAATCATCTTAATCATTATCATCATTATAATCATCACCATTATCATTATTACCAGTATCATAATGATCACCCTTGTTATTATAATCATCTTAATCATTATTATCATTATAACCATCACCATTATCATTATTACATCATAATGATCACCTTTGTTATTATAATCATTTTCATCATAATTATCATTATAACCATCACCATTATCATTATTACCAGTATCATAATAATCACCCTTAGTATAATTTTCATCATTATCATCATTATAATCATCACCTTTATCATTATTACCAGTATCATAATAATCACCCTTGTTAGTATAATCATTGTCATCCTTATTATCATTATAATCATTACCATTATCATTATTACATCATAATGATCACCTTTGTTATTATAATCATCTTAATCATTATTATCATTATAACCATCACCATTATCATTATTACATCATAATGATCACCCTTGTTATTATAATCATCTTAATCATTATTAGCATTATAACCATCACCATATCTTATTATCATTATAACCATCACCATTATCATTATTACATCATAATGATCACCTTTATTATTATAATCATCTTAATCATTATCCTCATTATAATCATCACCACAAGGAGTAATATTGCTCAGTGGTAGATCGCTGGTTTTACAATCACAAGGTCCTGGGTTCTTGCCCGGCTGACCCTCTCTGTCGACTCAGCTGTGAGTACTGGTATGCTGGCATGAGCATACTGGGGTCAAAGTCGGGGTGGAAAAGGAACTAACCATCCTACATCATCATTTTGAATCTTTAATATAAATCACATATCTTAAAATTCTGTGATTTTGATCATTCTGCACAAGATATTGTCATAGGAATTTTAGATGTCAGGGAGAGGGTAGGGAAGGGGAGAAGGTACAGAAAGAAAGATCGACGAGATACAATGTCTGCGTGAATATATCAACTTTGAGACTTTAATTTGCCAAGTTTCTGATCATTATTATTATTATTAATTCTTTTCTTTCTTTTCTAATGGCATTCCTCTCTCCGCAGCTCAACTGGCTTCCATCCGGCGAATAGGCCTATCCTCAATTATTTGCCAGAACAGCAATCTCGAATTCATGCAGCTCAACCCTTTCATTTCTGCCGATATTCGTGGGTAAGATGTTGATCAGTCTCATTCATAACTGTTACACATTTGTAATCTTTCTCTTGTTGGAGAATGCGCCTCTATACATGCATGCCTTACACACACACACACACACATACATACATATATATATATATATATATATATATATATATATATATATATATATATATATATATATATATATATATATATATATATATATATATATATATATATATATATATATATATATATATATATATATATATATATATATATATATATACATATACATATATATATATATATATATATATTATATATATATATATATATATATATATATATATATATATATATATATATATATATATATATATATATATATATATATATATATATATATATATATATATATATTATATATATATATATATATATATATATATATATATATATATATATATATATATATATCATATATATTATATATTATATATATATATATATCTTTATTTATTCGCATATCCATATATATTTACTCTCAAGTATTTCACTTAAACTTAAGCCATCATATATATTTATCTCTTTATTTATTTATATATCCATATGTATGTACCCTCAAGTAAACCAATTTGGTATGACGTCAACACAGCAATGTTGGCTGATTAATGAAACATGATCGCCATTACTCCGCCTAAAAAGATCCTACAGGATGAACCAACAGCTCTAGGATATTTTTTCGCTTACAAATCCTTCTCCTGCAGGAACGAGCCCCGCCCCTGCGCCGCCTTCCCCTCCTTAGACCTGTCCTTGTGGAGGGAAGGAGGCACTACTGACCCTACGCCCTATCCGTGAGTGTTTTGGGGCCTTCGTTGTTAAAGTTGTGCCAGGCCCGACCCCATGAATTTCCACAAATACAGATGCAGAAATAAAGGCATATCTGTCTAAATATCTGATAGATATACAGTTAACTATCTATTTGCCGGGTTGATATGCATGTCTAGACTGATAGGTATGCATTTATTTCTCTATTTATGCATAAGTATGCGAATATTCTTTGGGTCGGGCTTCGTACAACTCTAACAAACCGGCCGTAAGTATCAGATGGTTCCTTTTCTCTTTGTTGGTGTTTCGTTTGTTTTTGTTTGTGTTATGATCTTGTTTTGGTCTTTTTTGTGGATTTTTTTATAATGTTTTGATATATATAATTGATTTGATTTTGTGTTTGTGTTATGATCTTGTTTTTTGTGGATTTTTTTTATAATGTTTTGATATATATAATTGATTTGATTTTGTTTGTCTATGGGTTGTGTAGGATATCTAAGGGCGCGGTATAGATGGTACGTCATAGTTGTAATAATAATAGTGATACTAAGGGATGGTTCTTTAATCAGCATTTTCACAAGCGTGGAAACCTACGCTAGGGGGAGCGGGTTAGAAATTGGTGTACATTGTTAAAAAAAGACGATTGTTGAATCACCTTCGTAAACATCAACATTTTTTGTACACTTTTTGAGGGGGTGGTCCAAAAAGCGTATGTTTTGTACACGCGAAAATATTGAAAACTGAACCACCCCTAGCAAGAAAAATAATAAGGATAATTATTTTATTAGTAATGTCTATTCGTAGACAGTTGAAAAACTAGTTCTACCATCTGCTACCCTCTATCATCTACAACCATTCCACTACCATCTATCATCAACCATTCTACTACCATCTTTCACCTACAACCATCCTACTAATATCATCTACAACCATCTTTCACCTACAACCATTCTACTATCATCATCTACAACCATCTTTCACCTACAACCATCCTACTAACATCATCTACAACCATCTGTCATCTACAACCATTCCACTACCATTCACTAGGCCGACCGAGCCCCCGTCTTACTACCTCCCTGTCCCCCCATCCGGCAGACCCCAAGGTAGGTGCAGAGGCGCAGGCGCGTGGCGCGGGGTCCCTGGCATGGCCCGCTGGTGTGACCTAAACTGCTACCACACTGACTCTTACTGCCCGCCCCCCCACTGCCAATGTTCCTAACNCTACAAGAAGAATAACAGTTTTTAATAGGTTATCAGTATTCATTACATTAAATAATCGTTTATTGCTCTCTCAGTTTAGATATAAACAAGTAGCAAGACTAAGTTTAATCTTTCAGGGATATCTATTACCAATATGTAACGATTTTGCAACCAGATGCGCAGAATCTTTACTGAAGTAATGGTATGATATGTAAGCTCGGAGTGTTTAAAACTCAAAACCCTTCGTGGGCCAATTTTCCCTTCAGCCACCATCTTGAGGGCCAACAGAGGTTTACATCTAACTTCCCAGGATTACGATACTAATACATGCATGTAGACGGCGTTAGTTAAGACCATTTTAGCGTCTTCAACAAAGGAGGGTTCTATAAGCTTTGGTATTTTCCCTCGCGTTTCGGCGTTGATGAAGGCATTGATGTCAGCAGCGGCGGCGTCGGGCTGATGGCAGATTCAGGTTTGATTATTTTGGTCTCTGGAGTTTAAAGATCCTTTAAAAAAATGTATCTGTTTAAAAAACTTGAAAGGATATTTTTCTTGTACAAGGGTCTCTTCTGTACGCGTCATAAAAGTTATACTGTGTTCGGAACTGCTCGTCTTGCTCGTCCAGACACCTTGTCCAGGACCAGCAGGACAAGTGGGCCGCGTTCGCACCTCCAAGACCCTTTCTGCCCAGAATGCAACCGGCTCGAATGTAAACATTCACTTTTTTTTATTTTATTTTATTATTATTATTATTATTATTACACGCTGCATAGGTTTTGATGCATATTTAACTTACCTGCAACTGACAAACACAAAAATATCCTTTGATAACACCAATAAAGGGTTATAAAATTACCCACCAATATCTTGGTTACCTACAACTGTCAATGTTTACATACAAAATCTATTGTGACGTCATCTCGTCCTGTTCGCCCAGGTTCGCAGGAGGGCGAGTTGGACGAGCTAGAATACTTGTCCGGGACGAGATTGTGGAGGTTCCGAACGGTCAAAACATCTTGTCCAACTGGGCTGGACGAGATAGACGAGCAGTTCCGAACGCAGCGTTAAATCCAGATTAAAGTTTCATCCAAATCCACTGTACTTTCACAGATGTAGTACACACTACCAGACGCACGCGTCCATGCGATTATCAGTAAATTTGCTCTTTTCCAATAAGAGCGGTATTTGTGTAGTCGATTTTAGCAGTCAAACTATTTGAGTTTCATATCACACGCTAAAAAAAAAAAGAAATATATATATATATATATATATATATATATATATATATATATATATATATATATATATATATATATATATATACACATATACGGTAGTCTTATAGCATGAGGATGTGCATTTGTGTTACGACAAATAAATCCATATAAAGGGAACAGAACTGTAGGTGTCAAACGAAAGATACATCAATTTATTTTCGCAGGAAAATGATAAAATTTGCACGCAGTTTTGAAGGCACTGTAATATAAAGATTCAAAAGGTTTGTTATTGAACAAACGTGATGTTATTGAAAGCGTTCTTTTTAAGTCTACTGATATGATACATACGTTGGGATTGTTTTTCCAGCCTGGATATAACATTGCTTTTCTGTATTTGTAAACTCTTTGTGATTTTCTTTCGTTTTTTTTTTTTTATTTCTGCAGTTTAAGTATCTTATTTGACGTCATTACGTATCAATACCTGATTGGTGGATTAACTAGCTCATTCTTAGCATGCCAGGATTAAATTACGAGCTCAAAAGTGAATGCTGTCCAGAGATGAAATAAAAGTTGATCCTGGACGCTGCCATTGCGCATGCGCTCTAGAGATCTGGATTAAACTTGAATACTGGATTAACTTTTATGGCACGTACAGAAGACGCCCTAAAGCACTGAAGTTGGTTCATTCTACATACATTAAATGATCACCACAGAAGGCTTTTCTCTGTTACTCAAGATCAAAGTAAGTCTGCTGAACAGATCTGCCCTCTTGTACGGAAGGCTTTCACACTGCGCCCGAGGTTTAAGCTATAAGGTTTGAAGTGCTTCACTTTGTTTAAGGCTTAAAAGGTTTTATCACTGTGCCTCGGCTCATATTCTGTCTTCTCGTACTAGACCAAGATTGCCAGAGAACTCCCATAACCACTTAATGGAAACGTATCACAAATTGAAATACAATGTCAGGTTACAGAGATTTGTATGTATATACGAAGTGATAATGCAGTGATTTAATGCAAATGTATGTGTAGATTACCCTCTTTTTGCAGAGACATAATCAAAACATTAGACCATAACTTATAAGCTGTGCTTTTATATAAAGAATGATGTTCGTATCCTCACTGAGCCATGAATCTGTAATACATGAGTTCTGATATCCCAATTTTGGATATGCAGTGATGTTACAAGATTAATACTCCCCACATCTATTAGGAAGGAAAATAAAACTGTAAGCCAGTTTCTTACCCTATTAAAGTCTGTTAACTTCACTTGTCGTCGAGGACTTTTCCCACGCATTCTCGGACGGGAATGGACTGGTCGAAGTATATCCTGTTAGCCGAGTTGATGGTGTAGTTCTGGTTTGCTTCTTGGGAGCCATAACTGCAGTTGTGTTATTATTTTAGTAGAAATTATTATCTGATAATGTTATTACTTGCATTATAAAATCATGATCCTTTTTTATCATCAAGGTTTTATTCATGTCCATTTCTCTCTCTCTCTCTCTCTCTCTCTCTCTCTCTATATATATATATATATATATATATATATATATACACACACACACATATATATGTGTATATATATATATATATATATATATATATATATATATATATACAAGTATATACATTTATATACATATATATGAAAATGAAGAAAGCAGTAATATGAAATGAAAAAATTTTTGTCGTTGTTCTTCATAATTTTTGTGTACACGTTTCTGTGTTTGTGTTTACACGTACACACACACACACACACACACACACACACACACACATATATATATCCATCTACCTACCACCTCTCTTAACGGTTCACTCGGTAGGTTTAATCGCGTCGCAACCCACTCACCGCCGTTCGAGGGCCCTGAACAGGGCGAGCGTGTCCTCCCTGTTGGTGAGCCGCAGAACCTGCTCCAGCTCCGCCTTCGTCTTGCCTCGGGAGCCGAAGTAGGCGAGGACGAGGGCTCCAGACGCTGAAGGGGCGAGATGAAGAAGTTCCCCGACGGAGGGAGAGCCTTCTGGAGTAAGTCGAGGTTGAAGGGGGTCGACTGCTTGAGAATCGGGAGCCGCGGGGGCGGCGAGGTGTCGGAGGAGGCACTGACAGCTGGCCCGCGGAGGGCGAGGGCGGGGAGCAGCACGCACACTCTCATGGTTCTGAAAGGTCACGCACACACTGGTATTTGAATATAGAAACACACGCAAACACATATGTATGTGTATATTTGAATATAGAAACACACGCACACACTATAGTTATGTATGTGTATATTTGAATATATATATAATAAAATATTATATTTCTAACTATAGACAAAAGCGAGCCAGATACATTAGCACTATTAAGATATCCGGTCTTATTATTTTGACGCAATGAACACGGTTTAGAAACAAGTGACTCAAACACGGGTTGCAGTATACGCAAAACTATGGGTTGCACAGGAAACATATAACCGATATTGCATGTTCGCCTAACTAATAGATTGTAAATAGACCTTATGAGGTGGGAGGCAAAATGCTGAGAAGAGGCGCAATATCTTTCAGTCACCTCATCACATCAGCAGTCAACAGTTACCATATGCGATTTGCAGTACCATAAACTCCTTACGAAATCGGAATATTCGTATAAAACAGAAAACACTAAAGATGGTCTGTGGTGAGACTTTACCAAGCTACAGATTACTGAGGTAGCGAGGCTGTTCCTGTGAATATTTTACTACCCTCTACATCTGCTTTATTCATAATTCCATAATAATGATACAATGAAACACATACCGTACTTTATTGTCTTTTATGCTCTTTGGTGCCACGCATCTCTGTGTAAGTGTACATTTGTTACAAAACTAAGATTTAATTAATACACTACAAATCTGAACTATTATGAAAAACCTGTACTTGAATTTGATCACAAAGAGATACATGTTTTGGGGATGATTTGATTCTCATGTTCAGAATTTTAACATCGTCATACAGATGAACGTCTGATCATACAGGGTGTCCTATATTTACTGTTAATGAATGGTTAGTGATATGATCATCATATGTTAACCACTTTCAATATGTTATGAAATTATCTTGAAATTCTGTGTGCGAGACGTTTGTTAAAATTGTGCGAGGCCCGACCCAATGAATATTCATACATAAAGACATGCAAATAAAGGCTTATTTCTTTATCTATCTGATAGATATACATTTATTTATCTATCTATCCGGCAGATATGCATTTGTCTGTCTACATTCATATTCATAATAATTAGGTCAGGCTTCGCACAGTATTAACAAACCGGCCGATGATATACATCAGCATACAGATCATACAAAACACCGGTACACAGTGCTCACCAAGAGAGTCTCGACACCAGTACCAACGCAGCGACCTAAAGTGACAGACGAACGCGAGAAGTCTCACGCAACGCACTTTCACCTACTAATGAGGGGCGCCTGGGACTCACGCTGATATACATCGCAGAGTCGTGCAATGCATTAGAATAAACACATTACAGATGCCAATTGATATTCTCAAAACAAAAACACAAACAGCGTTCATTTAATTGTAATTAAAACGGGAAACGAATGTTGCAAATTCGGGTCACGTTTACATTGCAATGATGCTATTTGACAGCAGGACATGCAGCGAGAAACGTGATTTGGAATTATAAACTAAGTGTTCGTTAATACAGATAAATTCTATGTTTCGCTTTCTCCAATGAAAAAAACAATAACCACAACAATAGCAGTATAGATTACAAAACTAAAACAATAATAATGAAGGCAAAAACAACATTGGTATTAACAAACAATGCCAACCATAATAATAACAAAGGTCCAACAGAGGATGCTCAAGATATTTTATGTCATGATTTCGTTACAAGAAGAAAAAAGTTATAATCTATCTGTACTCCATTTCATCAAATAATCGTTTTTTCGCTTTCTAATTTTAGATTTAAAATAGTAAGGCTAAGTTTAATCTTTAAAGGATATATTTACCACTGTGTACCGATATATTATATATATATTACCAACCTCTAGCGATACATACATATATATACATATATATATAGTGTATATGATATATAATGTGTAGTATATATAATACACAGGTAGTCGCGTGTTACATGTTCCGTTCCAGTAGGCTGTCCGTAAGTACGTATGTTCGTATGTCCGTAGTAGGGCGTACGGTATGTTTTCATTACTGTACAACTAGCTCTACTTTCGGACGTTCCGGTATAAACAATGCAGTGGTTTTCGGTGTTTTTTTAATGTGCTTTGAACAACCTTCATCCAAATGCTCAGAAGTTTTTCAAATTCTGCAATCACTTTTCCACGTTTCTTACTGATAACAGTAGACTGCATAGGGACTGAACTTTTCACATGCTCCATGATTTTATCCTTGTTCTTGAGTATTGTACCGATATTGTACCGTAGAACGATTCATCTAGTACGAACGAAGATTTGAGATATCAGGCTTTGAAGTTGAGGATATTTTTCCTCCATTTTTTTCTTTGAAAATCTGATATCTGAGTCAACCTTGATGCATTCGATGGCATTCACATGTATTCTGAAGTGTACCCCCCCCTTTTTCCAAAGGACTAATGGCAATGAGTGCACATGATTGTAGAAGTACTGCATGTCACCAGAGGCTTGCAGTGCTTCTCGAGGCATTTCATAGAAAATAAAAAACTGCTGCAGCTGTGATTGAGATGTATTTCTCATCATATTATGCTTATTAGTTACAGGAATAACATTGATCATTAGTAGTGGCCTATTATGTGATGAGGGCGCATCAGGGATGGTATCGCCCGAGGCATGGGACGATCTTCATCTCGCTCCGCTCTCTGTGGTGACTGCCAACCTTGTCTCTTTGTAGTGACTCAGCTGTGCTGCAAACAGAGTTGCCAGCTAGTTACCAGAGAATACCAAAATGAAATAATAATAAAAAAAAAAAAATGTTGAGTATATTTGCACAGACGCGACACAGTAAACATCAGAGCCGGAGGCGGATGTCGGGGGAGGGTCAGAGATTTAGGCCAAACTTTCTTATTTTACCGTAATTAGCAAAAATATAATTACAAAAATAATCACAAAATCACAAAGTTTTCTGGAGAGCGTACAACACACGTTTGAATGAGACCGTGTGGGTACAGTGAGAGAGCTATTGTTTAGGCGCGCACTACTCTCACTCCCTCCTGACAACTTTGTTCGCATGTACCGAAGTTCGTAACTCGGAAGTTCGCAAGTAGGGACCACCTGTATGTGATATATGATGTATATAATATATGGAATCTATAATGTATATATAATTATAATATATGTAATCAATATATACATATATATATATATATATATATATATAAATATAATATAGATAATATATATATATATAAATATAAATATACAATTTATATAACATGTATATAATAATATATATATATAATATATATATCACATGTATAACATAAATATATAAAAATATACATCATAAACATATATAATGGATGATATATATAAACATAATATAAAGTATATATATATATGTATATGCTATATGATATATATATATATATATATATATGATATATATAATGTATATGACATACGATATATATGATGTATATGGTATATTTGTAAAATATATATGAATTATGATAATATGTGCAATACATTATATTTATGTGTGTATATATGATATACATATATATATGACATACATAAAATATGTATATACACATGCACATCTTCAATCTACAGTATACTCTAGATGACGATTTAAAATGTGGTTTGGTTAGTTTTAATAGGATTGGAAATCAGAAAATAATCCTGGTTTTTGTTTTCTTTAATGATATTTGACAAAGATATCCCATAGTCACCCTCTGACAAACCACATTATTGGAATTTGTAGTAAATTCAAAGTTTTCAGTCAAATTTCCTAGAAAAGGCAAACAAACAAATTATTGCATATTCAGATGCAATCATATGACGTTCCAAAGCTTTCCCAAACCATCTAGTTCCCCAGGTCGTCCGTCAAATCCAGGCCCCCAAGATCATGTCCTAGGTATAAAATACTCCAAAAACCTGCCTTATCATTAAACCTTCAGGATAGTACAGTGGTAACGCGCCGGTCTCTCATCCGAGGGGTTGACGGTTCGCGCCCCGGCCAGGTGTGAGAAGTTGCAATTGTCGCCCTGAGGTAATTGCTGTGGCTGGGCACCACGGTGGGTAAGGACTAACCTCTGTTGCACTAGCTGACACACGTTGATCGAGTCAACATTAGTCGGCAGGCCGGGCGAAGCTCAGCTTCGCATATCGGACATATCCTCATCCTTGCCCCATCACTCGATTTCTTTACAGTAAAAATACTCTGGGCTTCGTTCGGCCGATCCCGCTTCCTGTGCCTCAATCAAGGCAACCTCGCGCTGGGAGATCAGCCGATATTTGTTTCTGCTGATCATTGACGCACACGCATTCATAACAGTTTCAGAAACGTCACTACTAGGAATAAAAATAGGTTTGTTTAACCCTCTTTCTTGGAAAGAGGAAGAATGGCAGCTTTATTAATAAGTGGATTACAAAAAAATACTTCAAAAAGCTTTTACTCCTCTATCAGAACATTGACATCAATGTGCGAAAAGTACTGATGAAATTTTCGTTACAGGAAGATGAATCTGGTGTTAAAAAAAGTCTGAATTGCAGCTTAGCTCATGTTTTTCACTTGTTTCTTTTCACTCTTTAAACAACCTGGAGCGTCAGTAGGATTAATCTGGTTTACAACGATATATCTTTTGTGAGGAAGGATTATGATTTAATAGGTTGATATACTTCATCTGATTCTCAGGTCACGTTTTTTTTTTTTTTTTTTTTTTTTTTTTAAATGCTCTTACATAACTATGATTCCAAGTGGTTTTAATAACTATTACCTCTTAGGGTTTATTTTCTCTCAACTACTATTATCTGAACAACTTGATATCAGTGGATTTACTCTGGCATAGCTTACTTTCCTTTATGCAGAAGGGGTGTGAAGAGTGTTTGGTTTCCTCTGGGTCTTACGTGGTCCTTTACGGTATAGTTAGGGGCATAGAAATGAAGGTAATGATAATGACTTTTGTGTTAGTTTTAAAGAGGGGAGACTAACAAAATTTGGCCCTAACAATAACAACAGTAGCAATAACGATGATAACAATAATAATGTTAATAATAATAGCAGTAGTAATGATAATAATAATAACCATAATAATAAAAAAGTAACACTAGTTATAAACATTAATAATGATATTGTTGAAATGCAATAATAGGGATAAGAAAATAACAATCGAATGTAATTAATATTCAATATAATGATAATTATGATAATAATAATCTTAATGATAATAACAATGATAATACCTATGACAACAATAACAAGAACAATGATAATACCTTTAATATAATAACAATGAGAATAAAAACAAGAAAATAATAATAATGGTAACAGTAATAACGATAAAAATAATAATGATAATAATAGCGTTAAAATCAAGAAGAACAGTGCCAACCATAATAACAAGTCCAGCAGAGGACCCTCAAGGACCCCTATAAACCCCATGAACAGGATGTTGTTCGCCTCGTTATCTTGAATGAAGAAAACGAAGGGCCGGTTGCACGTGAACGTCGTCTTTGGAGGCATTGAACGAGACCTATTCAGAACGAACGCCGTCGCCGCTGCCGCCTCTGCGCCTTCTTCGTCCACCTCTATAAGGGCCTTGTGGATCGCTCCATTCACCAGTAATCCTCGAACAGGTGTGAAGTTGGTCAGATCGGCGGTGGAGGAGAAAAGGTCACGTATTCCCATTTTCTGTAAAGTCTGGAGAAGGAAGGCGTGGATACGATGCTATTTTTAAAGGTATTTTGCGTCATGATTTCGCTACAAGAAGAAAACAGTTTTTAATAGGTTATCAGTATTTCATTTCATTAAATAATCGTTTATTGCTCTCTCAGTTTAGAATTCAAAAGTAGCAAGACTAAGTTTAATCTTTCAGGGATATCGATTACCAATATTTAACGATTTTGCAACCAGATGCGTAGAATCTTTACTGAAGTAATGGTATGATCTAAGCTCGAAACCCTTCGCGAGCCAATTTTCCCTTCAGCCACCATCTTGAGGGCCAACAGGTTTACATCTAACGTCCCAGGATTACGTTTCTTAAACTGGTATTATGTGATTGAACGTTAAGTTGATTTTACCTATCACATTTTAAATGGTGATCCTAATGGTAACACATTATATATGACTTTTTTTCATGACGATCCTAACTTCACCGGCTAATAATTATGACAGGCCTTGGGATCAGCACAGTGGACACATACATATATGTATGTACATGTATATACATATAAATAATCAATAAGTTATTAAATATATATATATATATATATATATATATATATATATATATGTATAAACACACTTATATATGAATATATATACATGTATATATACATATAAATATGTATGTATATTACATTCTAATATATATGTATATATATATATATATATATATATATATATATATATATATATATATATCAGAATGACTTAATAGAAAAGGCAATAGAAAAAAATAAGAATGAAGTGATGAATGTAAAACGTAAGTATTGGCTAAATTAATCATTCAAAACGGCCGCCTGTAAGACTGAAACAGCAAATCCCGCGGGCTACTCCAGTTTGTATTGAGGAAAGTTCCCTGCTGGTATTATATATATATATATATATATATATATATATATATATATATATATATATATATACACACACACAACACACACACAC